TCTTGCTTTATTCCTTTCCTTTTAATCTTTTGTCCTCATCTTTTTCAGGACTTATCATCCCCATTTTATTTTACAGAGTAAATTTCCCATAGGTCAGAACAATAGTTGGTAAGTTTGCAGTTGAATAGATGCATAGGTGAAGATTTAAATGCATCCCATCTTACATCTAGAAATTGAAGCCCAAGAAAATAGAGGGAAAAACTAAAGAAAAAGGAAAACAATTACAATGCTCCACCACAACAATCCCAAGATATATAGACCATAAAACTGCACCATTTTTTCAGGGTGTTATTCGAGTCGAGCTGAGTCGAGTAGCTCATATTCGTGCTCGTTTAATAAATAGTAGGAAAGGCTCGGCTCTACTTAACTCGATTAATAAACATAAAACTTCAAACGAGCTATTATTGAACATGGAATGTCTGTTCACGTATAAACTCAACTCGACTATTTCATTTAAAACCCATAAAAAATAAATATAAAAAATAAAAATAAAAACAAGTTGTTAGCAAACAAGTTCAGCTAGGATCATTTAATAAACTCGAGCTTTCACAAGTCAAGTGAGTTATGTACACAAACAACTCATCTATGCACATATAGTTAGATCCTCAAGACCTGAACACTAGCAATTACTCATAGTTAGGTTCTCAAGACCTTAAGACTAACAATTACTCATGATTACATACACAATGAGTACATTATTGAGCTAATCCCTACAAGATAGAAAGCAAGATGACCACATTTTGTTTTTCCCAACCACTAAAGCTAAGGACATCAAGAAAATAAAAGGGTCTCATCCAAAGAAAGACATCACCTTCAAAAGGATAAAATAAATCCAACTTTGGCCATTCACTTTTTGAGTTTTTTCAGCTGATTGATTGAGCTTTGATAAACAAAATCTTCCTTACACATAAGAGAGTAAAGTGAAAATGAGGTTTTCAAGACATACAAACTTTATGTGCATAAAAGGCTCACTGATTTTGTGGGCACATTAGATTAAACCTGAGAACATTAAGGCAACCATATGAAACTAATAAATTCACTGCTCCCCTTATTCCAAATCAAATCTGAAAGTTTTCAGTTTTCACTAAATTATATAGCAAGCAAGAAGTAGATAGTCAATGCACAAAGAATAATCTTTTAAAATTACTATGTACCTTCAAAGTTCAAACACAACTACCCTTTGATCATTAGATTAAGAAATAAACCCAAAACACATACAATGGGTCCAAAAAAAAAATAAAATAACTCATGATTATTACACTATTATTACTAAACTTCCCCTCTCCATCACATTATCGAGCAACCGTTTTCATCATCGGCAAAACTACAATCACGACGATTATGATCAAAGATCGGTTCAAACGGTAAAGTTGGTGAGTAATAATACGGGCGTGAGTATGTATAAGCAGTCATACTTGCAGCATTGTTGTAGCTCATCCCATATTCCGGGGCAGGGTAGTAAAAGTTCGGATAAGGAAGGATTTGCTGATGTGGCGGGTTCTGGTTCATTTGGTCGGCCGGTGGACCCGAGATTCCTGATGGTGGATTAGATTCTCCACTTCCCGCTGCCGGTGGTGCACATGCACCAGTGCCACCAGCAGCATTCGCTGAACCCGAATTCCCCTTTTTCTTTTTCTTTTTCTTTTTCTTCTTTTGGTTTGCGTTTACATTTTCATTACTTTCTTTCGTCGGGTTAATATCAACTTGCTCGATATCGGTAGCACTCTCATCCTCATCCGAGTCCTTCTGCTTCTGCTTCTGCTTTTCCTTGGGCTCGGGATTTTCTGTCCAGAGCAGAGCATTTTTGCCCGATTTTATGAGCTTCTTCATCAATGTCTCGGCTTCGACATTTCCAGCCACTGTTACTTTGTGTTGTTTTGCATCTATCTCTATCTTATAAACTCCTGGTAAAGATTAAGACTTCATCAAGCCTTTTTTTGTAAAAAAAAAGAAGAAAAAGATACAAAATAAATAACCAAAGAAAAGGAAATAAGGACAAAAATGTTATGTTACCTTCAATACTTTGAAGGACTTTCTTTACTTTCCTCTTGCAACCTACACAGTGAATGGACACTCTCAAAGCCCATGTCTGCATTAAAAGTAGTATACGAGTAAACGTATGGACTAACGAGCATATAAAAGGCCGAAAATGATCATTAAATGCATCGAAAATTTGGAGAAAGTTACCTTGTATGTGAGGGGTTCGCAGCAATCACCGCTAGCAGATTCTTTCTCCATCAAGAGTTGCTGTGAGAGTGAAAATAGACTCTCTTTCTCTCTTGGTGTAGAGTTTGGATACAAAATGGAGGGGAATATTTGATAAAATGGACAACTTAGGATCAAGATATATAAAGCAGCAAAGATGAAATGACTAACACGCCCCTTGACTGTGGAAGCCATATCAGAAGCACAAGTGTAAGGCCATATTATGGGACTTGATTTGATAATCACAACAATAGCTGACCTCATTTTTGTTTGGTTAAGGACTGAGAACACTTTGACCTTGACTTACAAAGAAAACCCATCTTAAAAGAGAGATTATTTTCACTGCATTGTGGATTATGAAGATTTTCACAGTTTAAGACAAATAGTGTTCACAGTTTATTGTGAAACCAATTTTTGATATGGGCACATGAAGGAGGCTCATCTTTCCCCATTATTATTCGTATAAGACAAATTCTAGATGATTTATAATAAGGCGAACCTTATAAACTTCCATTCTCATCGTCCCACTCATAGAATCTCTAAAGTAGTAAAAGAATGTCTTCCAATTACAAGTGCAATTGCTTAAACAATTTTATCTACATATATGCCAAAATTTCATGCCGCTCGAGCTATTTATGCAATTAAAAACAGAAAAATGTCACCTGATTGAGCTCGGCAATAACTTTAGAAATATCATGGCTACCGTTACTGGCAAAGAAACTCGACCAAGAAACATTAATGGTTACGCTTGCTTTCGCCTCGACAACTGCAATTCAGAATTATAAAACCTTTTGTCAGAAACCCGCCTATATTTCTCATAGAGGCATTTGAACAAACAGTTTCAAGGCACTCCACTGAAAGTGTAAACAAGAGAAAGAAATAACAAAAGTATCAAGTAATATAAACATAATGCACATCTTTATAAAGGTAGTGTAATTTTCATCTTGTTGATTTTTCCTTTTAATAATAATACGCTGTTGGTAATTTCTTGCATTAGACATGTTTATTAATGCGCCTCACTATTAGGACTAACTCTAACGAAATAGGCAAATACTGAGAACTACTGTAACATTTATTTTATTCCATACGAGGTACCAAAATTAGGGTTTAGTCCTTCGATTTCATACAGAAATTCTCCATATCTGCTTCCTTCGGGCCTTCGGCTGGGTTACTCAGGTAATTAATGGATTAATTACTCCTTAGAATAATTTCTGTGAGTTGTCAAAATAGTTGAGATTATTATGAATGTAAATAGTTATGTATACGTGTTTACACGAAGAATCTTTAGCTATTGATTCAGGTTATGACAATCTTTAATCCATAGATTTTCAGCGGAGCTGTTTCGAACCAATTTACAACAGATGTCTGCCTGCACTCGTTTTCACCCTTGCAGGTAAAGTCAGACGGAATTCATTTTCCCGGTCAAGATGAGAATAGTTGGATTGACCGGAGGCATAAGCTCTGGAAAAAGCACAGTATCGAAACTCTTCAAAGCTCACGGTATCCCCGTTGTCGATGCCGATGTCATCGCTCGCGTAGGCTCTATCTCTTTCAAATTTTGTAGATTGTTGAGTCCGTTTTCTGAAATTATTTCCCTCTGCCGTTGCACTTTAGTTATGTTGCTTATTGGGATTTTGTAGAATGTCCTAAAGAAAGGGACCGGTGGATGGAGAAAAGTGGTGGCTGCATTTGGGGATGAAATTTTGCTCTCTAGCGGAGAAGTTGATCGGCTGAAGCTGGGCCAGATCGTGTTTAATGATCCTGATAGGCGCCAGCTTCTTAATCGGTAATTTTGTTACATTTTGCTTTTTTTTTTTTCTTGCTCCGAGATAAGAAAACTTAGATTCCAGTTGTGTTCTCAATAACTTGCTGTTAATATTATTTTGAAATCTCTGCTGTAAAGATTTGATCTTTACTTGGAACACTGTCTTGAAAGGGGTTCCAATAAGTTTTTAGTTGATCTGTTTCTAAATTTTGAGTAGATCTGAATTTACTTTAGCAATTACTTTTGGTGAGCTTAGTTTAGTATCTATGCATTGGTTTAGTAATCAAGATATTAAAGATGTCGTTACCGTTTTAGACTATGATATCCAGCAAAGTTCGCGAAAAAGTTTTTGTTCATTCAAGTGAATGTTTGATAATTAACACTATTGAAAACACTTTTTTGTTCAGAAATAGATTTTATTCTTCTGAAGGGCTGGTTGCATGGTCGTTTTACGATTTTGTACTAATTTGAGATTAGCACTCAGATTTTTCTGAATGGCAATGCGTATGGATTTATTATTAATCGGTATCAAAATTTTCTGAAAATTATCCGTGATGCTCTCAGGTTACTGGCCCCTTACATTTCATTTGGGATTTTCCTGGAAGTTCTGAAGCTATGGATCAAGGGTTGTAAAATAATTGTTCTTGACGTGCCCCTGTTGTTCGAGGCCAAGATGGACAGGTGGACTAAGCCCATTATTGTAGTATGGGCCGACCCCAAGACCCAGCTTGAGCGGCTTATGTTGAGAGATGGGTCCACAGCTAAGGAGGCCCAGAGTAAGATTAATGCTCAGATGCCTCTTGATCTGAAAAAGTCCAAAGCGGATATTGTGATCGATAACTCGGGGTCATTGGGAGACCTGAATGAACGTTTTGAAGAGGTATTGGTACAGGTCAGCAAGCCGTTGACTTGGGCTGAGTTTGGGCTTTCTCGAGATGGAGCTATTGTGGCTTTTATTTCTGTTCTTTTCGGTGTTATTGTATTTCGAAAAGCTTTGTGATAGACAGTGTAGTATTCTTATGAGGATTTTTTTGTTAAATTCTTACAAGTGTATGTGCACGACACATGGGTATTATTCGTTCGACTCTGGAGCTGTAATTGGAGTTTAAATGTAGTTACATGATTGAAATAATGGATAATGAGTTACATTTGGTGAGAATTTAATTTGTTTGCTCTTATCAGCATATGCAGGTGCGAGGTATGCAGTGATGCTCTCGATCACACTCTGGAAATCGAGTGAAGAAAATTGGTGCCGAGGTAAGGGATCACGCTTCATCAGGCCACATTGTGTTCGCCTTTTGCAGATTTTGCTCTTACATCGATTAACAGTCTGATTATTGATNTCGCTGTTAGGATGGCAATCACATCGAGTATGAATGTCAAAGAAATTTGTACTCGAGTCGAAGAAAACAAAGAATACATGTTCATTTTGTCTCATCAATGTGATATCTGGTTTAGACATAGCTGCTCGGCTTAAGTACATATACAACCTAATGTTCCTTTGAAGTTTTGAGTCCAAGAGATTACATGAAAACTAATATGTGGTTAACTTCTGGTGATTCCCAATTAGTTTCGAAAGTTTCGAAATTCCACACAACATAATCGTGATGGCGAGCACAGAGCACTGTTATCTGTATTTATTCTTTTGATCTGAAATCGCTGTTAGGATGGCAATCACATCGAGTATGAATGTCAAAGAAATTTGTACTCGAGTCGAAGAAAACAAAGAATACATGTTCATTTTGTCTCATCAATGTGATATCTGGTTTAGACATAGCTGCTCGGCTTAAGTACATATACAACCTAATGTTCCTTTGAAGTTTTGAGTCCAAGAGATTACATGAAAACTAATATGTGGTTAACTTCTGGTGATTCCCAATTAGTTTCGAAAGNTTTCCTTCCGTGCGAGAAAAACAGAGAATCACAAAACCAAATTTATTCATAAGCGATCAACGCAACAGACAGCTTCAAATCTTCTTCAAACCTCAAACGTGTGAGAAAAACAGCAAAATCACACAACAAAAGCAAAAGGACGATCCCGACATGAGCACGCCCACATGAAAAAAGGTAAAACCGTAAAAGTAAAAAAACACTCCATTATAGCTGAATTCATTAGCCGCATCAGATTCAGGGGTTGTTTTTCATCGCAACAACCTTCTGCCAGGCTGGCCTGGCCAGAATATCCTTGGCCCAAGCGTGCACGTGGGCCCGGGCCTCGATAATCGGCTTGACACGTGTCCCCATTAGGTACTCCAATGCTGGGAGGTGGCTGAGGTCCGCTAGGGTGAACGCATCCCCACACAAGTATTTGTACTCCGCCAGCCTGGCTTCGTACACGTCGAGGACCTTCGCCAGCTTGGCTTCTTGCTCGGTTACAACAGCCTCGTCTGTAGCCAACCCCAGTAAATGAGGCTTGACTAGGAGCTCCCGGACTAGCTGTGATGCTGGTGGGTCAAATTGGTGGGCCTCGACCTCAAGCCCAAGGCTCACAATCGCCATCTTCTTGGGCTCTGTGAAGACGAGTGGAGTCCCTTTCTCGATATGTGCGAATGCAATGTAATTGTTGATTGCCCTCGATTCTGCATTATAATAATAATTTACCGAGTTATTATATTACAAAAAGAATGATCGATATATCGATTGGATTTGAGGGCGAAAAAAGAGGCACTTAATTAATTAATTAATTAATACCAAAGAGCTTCAGGTCATCATGCTCAAAAGCTGGGATTTGTCCAAATGGCTGCACAAAAAAAGACATTTGAAGAGAGTTAAATATATAATTTGATTTTTTTTAATTTATATTTTTAACATATGCTTACATTGAGGGCAAGGAAAGTCTTCCCCTTGTGTTCTCCAGCTTTCATGTCGATTTGGACAAGCTCATAATCGAGTTCCTTCTCGTTGAGGCAGGCCAAAACTCTCTGCACTGGAGGAGAGGGCCCGATACCGTACACCTTAATCGTCATTTTTAATTAATCGAAAGAAACTTAATTAATTACTATTGATCTGTGGTTTTTGTTATGAATGATAGATGCGTTAGATGGTACGTGTATTTATACTAGTTTTGGATAAATAAACTATTATTTTCTTTTNAAAAGCGGATAAATTGTTTAAATTCAATGGGAAGGTTCCACAATTCAATGGGAAGATTCCACACTAAGGGCAGTGCAGTCAAGTTTATAATTTCCTTTTTCAGAAGCTTCATCAGAGGTAAAGTTCATTGTTTGTGTGGTAGTTGTTGTCTTGTGGAAGACAATTACGTCAGTTAGTCCATCATAAAGGAAAATAAATACCAATGGGCCCTAATAGACCAGATTTAGTAACAGCCTAAGCTCATGGGCCCAACTCTTAAATGAATGAGTTCATATCGAGTAACTAATCGAACGCCGGGCAAAATAAAGAATTGCCACGGTTTGTTTTGCCCTTTGGAACTCATCATAATCAAGTAGAAGATTTTTTTTTCTTTATTGCCTTTAACAACGGTTAATTCTAAAAGGAGTTTGATCCGGATGATAAATCATTTAATTCCTAAAAATGCATTCAAACAACATAAAGGTAACTGTATAATATAAATAAAAATATGACATTTCATAAAATTACAAACCAAAAACACATGAATTTAGTACTCTCAAACACAAACAATAAAAGGGCGCTCAAACAAAACCCATCACATCACCACAACACAAATTTTGCAAACCTAGAAAAAAAAAGTCAACTCCAAACTTTAAATCCAAACGAAGTTAAGAGTCAACTTCTTCTTATTATTATTTTAAAATTTTTGATCGAAAACACTCAAGAACCAATCAGAACTTGATTTCGGACAGAACCTTCTGCGATGCAGGTCGGGACAAGAGTTCGGAGCACCAAGCGTTAACATTTGGGCGCGCTTCAAACAAAGCCTTGACCTTTGTATTCATCAAATAGTTGATTATGGGCACATGGTGAAGATCAACCAATGTAAAATCCTCTCCAGCTAAGTATTTAGATTCTGTCAGGCGTTTTTCGTACACATCAAGTACCGTGGCTAATTGGGCCTCCAACTGCTCAACCAAGGCCTCGTCAGTGGTTAGGCCCTTAAAGGGCTTGACCAAGATTTCGTAGTTGAGCTTTTGGCCCGCTGCGTCGAATCTATGGGCCTCAACTTCGGACCAAACTCCAAGAATTGCAAGCTTCTTTGGGTCTTGGACTAGAAGTGGTGTTCCCTTGTCCGCATATGCATATGCTATGTATTTGGTTATAGCCCTTGATTCTAGAGTTCACACAATAATAATTTATTAATATTTTAGAAATATTTTATAACAATATTCGTTTACTCGATTGAATTACTGTGAAATATCATACTTTTATAAGTTATATATACCATTTGGAAGCAACTCGTCTAACCTGATTCGAATAGAAATTAAGTTAACTAGTTCATAAATTTCGAATTGTGTAATGAATTGCCACCCCTAATTATTACAGTCTAGCT